CTTGAGGTTAATTTTTATAGCCGCATCTAATTCATTTAGGTGTTGGGTGTCAGTGAAATATGAATTTGACACTCAGTCTCTTGTAACAAGCTTTGGAGAATATATAGATATTGCAGAAAATCAGGAAGCTGCCAGACTTGCTGTAAGTGGTAATGACAAGCATTCCTTTTTTTTTGTTTCTGAAGAGGCTTTGCTATTTCTTTGAACCTGTTTGACTCTTATTTTGGGGCATTAGATAATTACAGAGTTTATATTTTGTATAAAATTCTACACGCAGCTGTCGTTTAAGCTACATGTATTCTACGGTTTCTGGTTTGGAACGGGTCAAAAAATGAAATTTTTTTAGTTGAACTCAGGACTGTAATTAATTTTTGCGTTTTTCATTCTTAGCCGTGGAATGCCAGCGATCCTCGTTTCATCATCTCTTGCGAGACAAATGACGAAGGAGAGTCATCTGGTTTCAATACCCCCGCAGAGGTTTTCTCATTTAATGATTTTTTTAAAATACTTTAGTCATCTCGGTAAATTTTCCTAGCGCGAAGGTGGGATATTTCGCTATGTTTTATGTTTACTTAATTTAAAAATGGGATTCATTAACTAGTTTTTCTAAAATTTAAGATTTCTAATGCGGAAGGCCTTGTTAGTGGAAGTCGGAATATTTTTTCGAAAGTGTTTATCAAATGTCCCATATTAATAACCTACGTAGATAGTCAGAAGGATGTTAAGCCTGGATCTTTTGTGCGATTCGATGCAGTTTATAATGAGTTTCTTAAATTTTACACGGTGCGCAGTTATACCTTAGTCCCGCGGAAGAAGTCTGTTCCACATGTTTTGATTGGATTTGGTCAGACTCCCTTAGTAAGTTATTCTTCTAGGCTTTAACTTATCTTTCCAGTTTAATTATTTGCAATTCATTTTGAGAGGAAGCATCTGGCTTATTATTTCAGCTGAAAGTTCACGTTGTTCATCAGGTCAGTGATACACTTTTCGGTTACTGTTGTGAAAGTGAGTATGGCTTGGGTATTATTCGTGACTCGAGTAATGTCTTGGCTCCAATTCTTCTTAGCAGTCGTTGGAGCGAACCCTTAGAAGTCTACGTTGAAGATACAGGTGTAGGCTTTTTCTGTCGTTTCGCAATAAGGACTCTACCAGATCCCACTAAATATTTGGTTAAGGACGCTCTGGATAAAGGTCTTGTACGTATCTTTTGTTTTTTCTTTCTCCTCACTCGTTGTAACCTTTGGTTTATAAAAATTTGTAACTGTTTTAGCCAACTATTTCCGAAAAAGGATTTTATGTAGGCGATAATTTGGTTTTCGTGCCGGATAGAAGCACTTTTGAATTCAGATTTGCTGAAGATGATAAGGACAACGAAGAAATTCGTAATTTGAAAGCTGGAGTGTGGCTTTCAGTTACCGCTACACCTGTTTCTGCTGAAGGATCTTTTTTTTTCGAAATAAAACATTGGAAAATATCAAGTGGTGGTGGTTTGCAAGAGCTAAAAACTTGCTCCAGTTTGGTCGGAAATTTGGTCTGTTTCATCCTCTTCGGTTAATCTTTGGTCATTTCAATAGAGTCAGTTGGTTGTATCTTTGAGTTTTGGCCTTACGACTTTCAACGGCAATGCAAGATAGCTGCTCTTAAATGTCTCTAGTTTAAGACAAGAGGGATAAATTTTTTTCTTTTGTCTTCACCTATTTTTCTGAACTTTTGCAAATTTATCCTTTTTTTAATTACTGTCACGTCGCTTTATTTTTTAATGGAAAAAATTTTAGCGTTTTTGATACTGATTTTATTCTTTTTCAGTTTGTTCTCTACTGGGATGGGTTATTTTAGCTATTAAAAGATGAATGTTTTAGTTTGAAGCCAGGTGCCGTTATGACAAGAACCTGTGTGTTTTTAAATCAGAAGAGTTCGGATATCTGGACGACCCTGATTCGAAGGGATCTCTTGAAATGAAGAAGGAGAGCACAGTCCGGACTGTATGGGTCAGATATAAAGCACCTGGTTCACGTACTCTTTTCAGCATTTATTCACTCGATTCTTTGGAGGGAGCTTCTCCTGTAATTAATTTTTAAGTGCTTGATCAGCTGTCTTTTTGGGTAGTGGGGTTTCTTATTGTTATTTTGAGAAAACTATTTTGAAAATCTTCGGTCGCAGATCTTGGTTTAAAACTTTGTTTTCTCTCAGAAGATTTTCAAAAGGTCTGCTACAGTTGGATTTTTACTTTCTCTTGTTTATGCTCAGGATAAGATTCAAAGTGACGCGTTATATAGCGTAGAGGAAAAACAGGAAGAGCAAGAGGTTACTGCTGCAGGCGAGGGTTCTTTGCCACCGGTGATGGATGAAAGCCGTTCAGAAAGCACTTCGCATTCCGAAACAGATGAAAATATAAAGCCTGAAGAGGAATCTGATAGTTATTTTCACAAACGTGTAATTTTTTATCAATTTAAAATTTTTTCGACGGAAACTTTTTTGTTGAATGATTTTTCTCTGCCATGAAAGTGGTTTTAATTACGTACGATTTTTATTCAGTGTTCGTCGTTGGAGTGCCGTGGCCGACTTCTCCTTTTCCGGTTGCTTAACGAGCGGAAGTTACTGCGAGAAATGCGTGCTAACAGTATGCAAGATCTTGTTGTACGTATGGTGACAGCTATTTCAAGTCAAAATATTGATAAGAAGTGAAAGAATCACTCATCCAAGCTGTTTTTATTGTTTTTTGATTCTTAGTTAAAGAAAGTCAAGTGCTTTTGTAATGTACATATTTTTCATTGACTAACTGACCAACACAATTTCTAGTTGCGGCCTTGGATTTTTTAGGCAAAAGTTTACAGTAATAGCTATCAGAAGTATGTGGTAATCTAGTAGGCTACTACCTGAGGAAAACCGTTGCTTAGCTTCTAGGACTAGTGTTTTGAGCTCCTGGTCGAAGTTTGACGTATGGTAGTTTAAGCACTGATTTTGCGAGGTGGTTGTAGCAGAGGTTTACCTCAAATGAAGTTCTTATTAAGAGAAGCGGCATAATTGTCTATATCTTGTCAGTTCTTGCTTTTCTTAGAGTTGTTGTTTTGTTATTGATGGTCAGTGTTGCACGCAGTTTAATGCTTTCTAAACTCATATCAAGGTTCCTATGTTTTTGAAACAGCTTTAGTTTGGCAGTCGTCTGGTGTATGGTAAATTGCATTGAACCAAAATTCGGGGAAGATAATTTTGAGGGGCAAATCTTAGAATAGCTGCCATTGAGGTTATCAAAGTAACAAGGTGGGATTTTCTGCTTTGCGAGGCAGAAGGAAGTCTTGAGGCTGGTAGTCAGAGTTCCTTAAGTATTATGAAGTGGGATATGGGGAAGGGTGTACTACACCGCTTTTTGGCGCAACGGAAGGTCAGTTGCGATTCTGGCGGTTTTTTTCCTCAAAACTCAATGCTAAGAGTAAAATTACAGCAAACTTGACAGAGTGTTGGAGAAGTGTGGTTGTATTTGCTTTTTAGCCTTTACCATTTGCGCAATAAATTCATACATATAAAAACTGTATTCAGCGCTTCTGATAAACCCGCTTGAGGAAGATTCACACCGGAAGGCTAGAAGAATAAGTCAAAAGGAATTGCGAAAAAGCTTTTGGGATGTAGGGTCAGCGTAAATTACCACAAAATAGCTCAAATGCTGCCAAAACAGTTACAGTTACAGTGGCACTCTCAGTAGTGTTACTCATTGAAAAACTCAGAAAAACTTGTATACTGTTATCTGATTTCCGAGTGGAGACTGCAATATCTATATTGTTGAACAAAAGCAGCAAATAACCAATCACTTGTAAAGAATCGATATATCAGTGAAATCTTCATTCATAACAAGTAATTAATGGAATATGATAAACGCTGCGCATGCGGGAACTATAGTGAGTACAGGCACTGAGAACCATAGTAATTTTATTTTGATCTAGTTCGTTTTGGAAAGCGGGTGTATCTACCCTCTTTTCTGCTTTTTATTAAGCTCAGAACTTCATTACGAGTTGTCGGGAAAAAAGGATTACTTCTAGATATAGAACAAAACAGACGTTGAATATTGAGACGAGGAGAAGTGGGATTTCGACATCAGCTAAGTCTAAATGTTTTAATGACAAATAGCTATTATGATAGTGAGGAAAGAATAAGAAGGTGAGAAATGCTTAGTTCTTTGCCAAGTGCCCCTTTTGATCGACTACCTTTTCCAACCTACGTCTTATCGAAGCCGACAGCCATTCATTTATTTTCTTTAAAGCTTCACTCCGATCCTACTAAATTATTGTTACAGGTTCTTAAATATTCTTCGGCTCTTGTTTCCAGTGTAGAGGCACATGTCTTTCTGCAATACCTCCACTGAGTTTAACTTGAGACTTTGAGGTGGCTGTTTTAAAAGTTCCACTTCTTTTTTCATCAATATACTAGTGAGAACTGAGACATCTTTTAAGGTGCTAACATGCTCACGCGAATTAAGGGTCTCCCTGGTCAGGAGAACTGTTTTGATCCGTGCCAGCTCATAGCTCCTCAGCTGTACCTAACTAACCTCTAAAATTCACGGTTCTCTGGGTGCAGTTGAAATTAAACTCCTCACCTACTCTTGTCTGAATAAAAATTCTACCACTACCACTAACCGAGTTAAATTTACTCCCACCAGTAACGTATTTATAATGCTTTCTCGATAAAATATAGAATTGGTCTAGTGTCTGATCACAATTTTTTTATTGGCTTTAATAGTAAACATGGATGAGGTATATTTGCTGATGATAAATCTTGATGATTTTACAACGAAATTTGCTCTTTACAAGGCTGGAATTGATTTCGTAAATCGAATAAATTGTAAAGAACTATGAGAAGAGGTCAGCCACTAACTTTACTGAAAAAAATACTTGTTTAGCTGCTGTCCACTTGTTGATGAGGCAGTCGAACAAGATTGATTGCGGCAACTACTTTTTGTAGAACTTTCAAATTAGGAAACGATTTTGCTAGATAAATGAGGTAATTTTATGGGTTTTTAAATAAACATTGATTAACAAGCTTGTTATCTGGTAACAGGAGTGTGTTTTTTCTTTTCAACGACATTTAATCGGTCTCATGACAAGTAAATTGAAGTTCTAAAGTTCTGCAGTTGTTCATAAAACCGTCAGGTTATTAGGTGCTGAAGTTTGGTGTATCAATAATACAGCACCACAGTCGACTAGGTTTGTAAAAAATTTGGTGTTTTTTAGATCTAAGTGATGCTGATAAAAGCTTTTGAACTTTTTATAATTCTTATTCTTAGTCTTTTATTATGTCGTTGTTTGAGTAACTTTCAAGAGATTTTTCTTATTCAACTGTTTTAAGGAAAGTTGCTAGCGTAATAAGTAGAAATGATATAATTCCTTTTTTTCTTTTTTTTTTTTTCTGGTGACTCCTACATTTGACATCTAACTAAGAATAATGTTTTAGCAATTAGCGCTTGGTCAAATGTAGATAAGCATTAAAACTTGTTATTTGCTTGCTAAAAACTTTATCGATATTTATACGAACTAATGTTGGGGTACTGCCGCCATCTAAGGTATTTTAGCAGAAATTTTTTCTTTCATATTTATTTGAAACAATTTTCTTTCAAAATGTACACTTTCGTTATAGCGCCGTGAGTTTTAACAGTTTAACTTGCAAGCGGAAGTGTACAGATTGAATAAAGCAATAAAATTTCTTTTATTATTAATATTATTTTTTTTATTTTACAGGACAGATTAACACTTCGTCAGTTCAATGTTCTGAGACACTCGTAAAGCTTTTTTTGAAGTTTTGAAAATGGTTCTACGTCATCGCCGTCTGCAGCTTTCAGTCCGTTGCACATGTAAACATATGTAACATTGGACTGTAAGTCGATTCGTACATTTTGTCCACCGTAACCTGAGTGTCCAAAGTTCCAGTAACCCTTAATTAATTCGTTTAAACTATGGAAGAAAAAAAGGCAGAATCAAATAAAGTTTTAATGATTAGTAATGTTTTTTTTTTTGTTAAAGAAATATTCAAGAGACAGAAGGAAAGGCATAATTGTAGGTTTTAAAATTTATAACCGAGGCCAAGATTTTCAATGATACGATGGAATACCATGGGATTTTTAAAATATTGCCATCCATAGCCTTTGTTTTCTGGATAACAGTTTATTAAATCCATCTGATTTTCCAGTTGTGGTCGACTGATTTGTACCAGAAAATTCAGCGAAAGAAGTTTTCCTTGAGTGATCAGATGATGCAATTGTGCCAATGAACGAGCCGTTCCAATACCCATATTTGAAGGCATTTTTAATTGTCTTATCTTAGGATTGTTATACTGAAATAAACTATTTGTTCAATTTAATTAATAATTACAACTCAAAGTCATCTTTTTCTTTGCTTCAAAGGGTCTATAAAGAAGGAAACAAAGCCACCTAAGTTTCTGCAGTAAGAAAGAATGGAAAAAATGATCATTTTAATTGGAAACTTATTGATTCTTTTGTGCAAAGATATTATCTTAGTTAACAGTAGTCAGTTATACAAAGAAATTTGTTCTTTCTGTCGCTAAGTTTGCTTTTTTTAAAAAACATATTTTGAATGCATTTCTGAATCAGTTAAACCCAACATATTTTTAGCAAATTAAATATGATATATATTGTTGGCTAACAACTGCAAGTTTTTATGCTTAATATGAGTTCTATTTGTTACTATTTGTTTTAACATTAATAATTTTTCAGTTTTAAATAATAACACCAACGCTGACAGAGAAGTTTAATAATTTGTTCAGCATTTTTTGTCGTTGACTTTAAACTATAAGATTCTAAACTGCGCTTACTGGTAGATAGTTCCACGTTAGCTTAGGTGGTTTGTTTTTTTTATTACTATATTAAATGATCAAGCATATTATCTTTAGATAACGAAGTCACGAAACAGTCTGTAAATCAAACTAATGACGGTCATTTTATTTGTGTGAAAAAGTCGTAAGTTGAATAAAGTCACAAACGGCTGTAATAAATCATTGGGATAAATTAAAGAATGAATTATTCATTTCTGAAATTTTTTTGGCTTTTTTTTTTTTGTTCTGTTTTGGCTTTTAGTGTTTTTTTCCGAAAGAATGTTTATTATGTAAAACTGACTTGTGACATGTTTTTTTTTTTCCAATCGGTTTCTTTTCAAAACTTTGGTTGCCGTCAACAAAAAATGATCTGACAAAACAGATGTCTTTTAGGGGAAAATTTTTAACAAAATAGTTTTTTTTTTTTTTGTAGGAAACATTTACATTTTTTCCTTTTATAACTTATTAACAGCTTCCTTTTACTTTGCAGCAGTTTTGCTCTAAAAGTTGCAAATTTATTTGTGGACAGCAAAAAAAAAACAAGAAACAAAAAAAA